AAGTTTGTTTATAACGAGTTAGATATGATTATAAATAAAATAAAAGGGAAAATATTTTGCACATGCAATATTATAATATTGCGTCCGCCACTGATACACAATATGGTATACAAGTACAAAAAATACAAGGAAATTCAGTATAAAAATATAAAATATCAAAAGAATGATAGAAAGATATCCTGTTCGATATCGTGCCAGTAATTATATTGCATTCCTACCACCAAAGCAAAAGATTGAACATTATCATGCTATATTTATAGGCTATAATAATAAGTTCAAAGTCTTAGACAGAGCTAACCGAATCCATAATCCCGTATTAACGTACATTGATTCACGTGAACAATATAGCCTGATGTCCAATTGTCGGCTCTAAGCAAATCCAACTTGCAAATGCTCCAATTAAAGTTGTATGCCAAGAGGGTTGGAGTACACACCAGAGCGGGCTAGGGCGGCGTGGTGTGCGTCTGCGTGGCCTGGAGAGCGGCCGGAGGACGTCGGCGTCGCTGGAGACTGGAGAACACGTGGCGGGCGGCGAACGTCGGCGCGGCCTGGAGAAAGCGCACTGGAGCTGCTATGGCTGGCACACTGACTGCTTCGGAGTTCGGACGGCGGGTGGCAGCGGTTTTGGGTGTGTGGACGTGGTAGGGCCCTTGGCCCCTGGAGTAATCGAGTTATTTGGGCCGGTTTGAGCCTTTACATGGGCACGAGTGATGAAATAAAGGGAAGTGGCCCAAAGACCTGATAGGGCGGCTCAAAGCTCGCCACACCCCTAAAAAAAAAGCTCGTCACACATGCTATGTGATTGACCGACCTTTGGGTCCGTTGGAGGTGAGTGTTGGCATTCGGTTTTTGGTTTGGTTCCTTATTTATTGAAATTCAGTTTCTAGAAAATAGAAATTGATCGATTCTAAAATTTTAGAAATCGAGCATTTAGGTTTCGGCTCTCGGACTAACTGAATTTCTTTGGCAGAGATTAAGACAAAAAAAATATGCAGGTTCTAAAGCAAATTTAGTCAACACTACCTCTATTTTAGATGATAATAATTGATAAGAAAACAATCGCAATATAGTAACACAAATACATAGCAATTCAATTGAGACATCATACATAAACCAAACATAGTCTTACTAAATAAGCACGTGATGAGGAATAGCCCTACTGAAGTTGTTTTTGCCTAATTAAAAAGCCAAAGTCACAAAAAAACATAGCTTTTCTTGGCTCATCTTGGTTCCAAACTCTAAAACATAGAAGTAGTCACCAAGTTTGCAAAGGCACTCTGAACATTTGACATCTTTCACCAATTTCTCAAAAACAAGAGATTGCTAAATTTTTTCGAAAGGGCTTCAGTTTCAACAGAGAAACTGATTTTATAGACAATTCAGAACTATAGTTGCTTTTAAAGAAGCCAGAGCCCTGCCATACGGTCGAGGCCTTAATCTAGGTTTTGTTCTTTTGTCCACGGTCAGGGCCTTAAGCCAGCACCTACATTCAGATATATTTATTACTTAACAACTTAACCAATATGTAATCAAAATTTAGGAGCTTCGACTGTCAAAATATTTAGTTTGAAAACAGAAAACCAATATACGATGATTTGTGAAGAGGACATGAATAATCTCATATACTTACTAGATAAACATTACAACTATATATTAAAAAAAGGTCAAAGTTGTATCTCGAAGACTACTCCCTTAGTAAAAAAAAATACAATTCTCACTTTTTTAGAAGTCAAATAACTTAAAGTTTGACTAAAGTTATATAAAAAGAAATACTAACATTTATTATACAAATAAGTATCATTAAATTAATTATGAAATACTTTTTTTGTAATAAATCTAGTATGTTTATACTTATTACTACTACTCTGTCCAGTCCATTTTATTTGGCGCAATTTAGGATGACACGATCTCCTAGATTACACTTTGATCATTCATGTGCTTTATATTATATTATTTATGCTTATAAATTTATAATAATTGGATAGTATAATTCCTTACAAATCTAATCATATAAAGTTTGTATTATAATAGTTAAAAATTATTAGCTTAATTATTGGTCAAAGTTTGTAAAGTTTGAATCTTGATATATCCATCTACACCTAAAAAGCAATAACCGGGCAGGACACCCTTCCGCAAGCACGGCAACACGTCGCCGTTCTGGCGGTCTCTTTAATTTGTCCTCCTGCAGTCGCGGCGTGAGCACGACAGCAATTGCCTAATCGCAGCTGCGTTGACAGAAGCCTTATGAACTTTTCTGCAGGCTGTTCAGGGTTCTTTCTTGCACACAGCAACTTGACTGCATGTGGCCTGCTGGACCTGATGCAGGCGTGCAGCCGCGCATGCAGGCAAGGCTTGCAGCAGCCATTCACGTAAGTAGGCATACAACAGTCCATTGTTTGTTTTTTCTAGAAGTGTTCTTTGAACTTCAAACAAATGCATTGCTAAGTATTATTGCTACTAAACATTGTCATCAAAGAGTGTGGTTTCGATTTAAGTATCAACAAAACAATGCCTTAGACAATCTTTTGGGTTACAATCATCAAGAAACAAAAGCATTCAAAACATCGTTACTAGCTAAACACATATGCAAACTACAATCATCTTTGGTGTTATTTTTTTCCGTCCAAATACCTTTGTGTACGCGCCTGCTCGGGCTCTCGACATGTACACGCGCGCTCCGTTTCACATGATTATATATACGCGCCTGGCTCGGCCTCTGGACTATGTCATCAACGAAATCCTACGCTTGTACCTGGTCGCTCCGTTGCTCCTGCCACACGACTCCACGAGTCGTTCATGGACTGCAAGGTCCGTATGTATTTGTAGAGATGGCTTATAAATAAAACCGCTTCTGATATAAAATATGAAGGTCTCTATAAATTATTTTTAGCAATCGTTACTGGTGATGGAAGTCTGCAGCGTGCACGTTCCCATGCAGTGGCAGAGCTTGATGGAAAACAGGAGGGGGCCATCAGCACTAATTCCTTACTTAATATGCATATATTTATTAATTTTAATCACTACTTTCATAACTATTTAATAGAGTTTTTAATTAGCAAGGAGGGGCTATGGCCCTCTTTGGCCTGCATGTAGCTCCGCCGGTGGTCCCATGCGTCAGCATCATTGCTGGGATGAAGTTGGTAGCAGCAGCAACTGCAAGGAGCCCAGGACTACTTAACTGCTGGTGTTTATCGTGATCAAATCTGTCACCGTAGGCATGTACAAAAAAAATCATGACCTCATTGCAAGGACTACTTGACTGTTGGTGTTTGCCGTAGGCGTGTACAAAATTCATGGCCCGGTGCAACGCACAGATAAATATCTAGAATATACACCTAAAAAAATACATAGGGGTTTTGTCCACCAAACCTTCGTGCGCGCGCCCCTCTGTCCGATTCCCTCTCCCCCATCTCCGATTCCTCTAATTCTAGCGCAAGACAAAGCAAGTCGATGGGCCTTCCGGAGGCCGTGTCCAGTAGGGACACGACTCCAATTAGTTAAGATTAGATATTCCGGACTATCATCCCGACGGACAGCTCCGGACACTAGCAGAGCGGACGCCGCCGCCGCATAGCAAGCCAGCGGTGCTCGCGTGCTTCACGAGCCACAAATCCGCTTGGGTGTACGTCATCGACGACCTCGCGACGGGTCCGTAGCGTATTCCCCGCCACCGTCCGCCCCTCCGCGTCGCCTCCCTTCGCCGTGCCGAGCCGGACGCCGCGGACTCCACCTGTGGCTGCGCGGTGAGCTCCCTAATCCAACTCACGCACCCTTGTAGTCTCTCGAGCTCTGTACAATGAGATCCCCGTCTCGCCGGCGAACTATGCCACAGGTAGCCATGGCGCCGCCGCTGGCACCAGGTTCCAAGTCTGCTCAACGAGCGCGCCTCCCGGCGCACACGCACGCATGCAAACGCCAAACCACGCGCGAGCGAGCGGAGCTAGCAGCTCTGACGTGCGTGTCCTGCTTTGCTCTGGTTAGCGTGATGACGCCATCGTCACATCACGCACACTTTACGGCCGTTTTCCTTTAGGAAAACAAATCCGGAAATACAATAAAAATACACCAATACATACCTATAATCAGCAAACAACCTCCACCGCCCATTTCCTGAATTGTGGCCGAGATTAAAAGCGTACATACCCTTTCATCATGCAGCCGGTCCATGGTGGACCGCACGCACACCACACCATCGGTCCAAGGCCCATGAACTCAGCCCACAGCCAACCCACTCTTTTGCAGAAAAATCCTCCTGATTTATCTTAATCCATTGATGTGGCGATGTCCAAAGCCTTTTATTTTTTTAGTTTTATATCTACATCTATACCTATTTGTTAGGTATGGCGTCTCCTAACTAACTCTGTAAATGTGAAACTATTTCTATTATCTATCTATGACCCTCTTGTTTTATATGATGTATTCTTGAGATAATTTGGATAGCTAGAATCCTGATTCTAACATGAATAAGCATGGTTTAAAAGGCGTCGCCTAGGCGACGCCTAGGCGTCTCCTAGTCGTCCAGGCGAGGAAAGTTGCTGGGCGTCGGGCTCGCCTGGACTTCCACGCTTAAGGCGTCTGCCTTGACGTACTAGGCGTCCGCCTTGCTCGATTAGGCGTCTGGTCGTCGCCAAGGCGCCCTCGGCGGATGCCTTAACTCGCGAAATCAGGGGGGCGCGGAAAAAGAAGCGATCTTGCCCAACATGAGGAAGAAATCGCTCCGTCGGCGGGCCTTCCGCTTTCATTGCTGCGCGAGAACAAATTGAGAGGGAGAGATAAAGCGCAGGAGGTAAATCGAGAGAGAGAGAGTAATTAGATTTAGAAACCGAGGCCCGCCGCTCGCCCCTTCTTGACGCTGGCGATTCCCACCGTGCCAAGGCGTCAAATCCTCGCGGTGCGGCACAGCCGGGCGGCCCCGCACACATCTCTCGCTGGTCGCCCCTCTCTTGCGACAACGAGATCCCGCCGTTTGCATTTCGATTGAAGCTTCGCCCGCCAAATCGATGGAGACCACCATCCACCGTCTGCTCTCCGCCAGCACCAGTGACGGGCTCCGATTTGCTTTATGGCCGCCCCCCAGCTCCGACTGCACACTGCCTTCCCGCCTGGCACACGCAAGCCGAGGTAGTGCCTCTCCTCTCTGTTTCCCTCCTTCCTCTGTTACTTAAGTAGTCGATTGTGCTCTTGTGGTTGGATTGCATAAAAAAGCAGAGCACGTCACATGGTGTTGTCTGCTTCTTGCTTGATACTTGTGGTTTGTTTTATAGATGCGCACTCTCTGTGCTCGCTTGTGGTTGGAATGGATTGCATAAAAAAGAGCAGCACGTCACATGGTGTTGTCCGCTTCTTGCTTGGATACTTGTGGTTTGTTTTATAGATGCATTGGAGTGGTCCACTCATAGTCTTCTTTGTGGTTAGAACATCTGGGCCGTGTATTATATGTCTTTGATTGCTCTGTTTTATATGCTAATTGCTCCGATTTATGTGCTAAAGTGACTTGATTTATGCTAATTCCTACACCTTTATCCCATATTATACTGCTACTTTCTGCTAGTGTTTGCTTTAGGATGTACTGTAGTGTCCTTTGCTCTTTGTTGAACTGCTCGTTAGCCTATATAAACTATACAGAGCATTAACCATGCTATGTGCTTGGGTTCTTTGCCTTTTATGCAGGTGAAGCACAATGGCAAGTCCACCTTCCATTTGCTAGCAGTATGATCCCAAGAATGATCCAACCCGGAAGCCACAAAAGACCAAGGATCCAGGGTGGAAGTACGCCTACTGGCCAAACCTTAGCAACAAGGATGAGGTAGCATGCACCTTGTGTGGTGGGAGTGTTCGTGGAGGGATAAAAAGGTTGAAGCAACATTTAGCAGTGGCTTTGGAGATGCAAAATTTGTCCTAAAGTGAGCACTTTGAAATTAGGAAGGAGATGGCGCTTTTTTTGGAGGCTAACAAGAGAAGAAGACCTTTGTTCCTAGAGGATGAGGATGGAGAAGCGAAGTGGTGGAGGTGGCATCAAGTGGGCCTCCTGTAAGTGAGGCACAAGAAAAATGAATCTTCTCAAGCCGCCAAGGTTCATCCTAGTTCGTGGACAAAGACCAAAAGAAGGCAATCAACCATACAATTGAGGGTCATGGTAACAAGACTGCACAAAGAAAAGACAAAGACCATTCTTTGAGATGCTTGAAAAACACCGTAAGAGGTGGTAGATGAGAGATCTGTTAGGTTCTTACCAGCCCACAATTAATGCAGCAAAAAAAGCCGGGAGGAGAAGCATTATGTGGATATGCAAGATGGGGTTTGTTCTTCTATGAGTGTGGTGTACCTTTCAATGCAAAGCAATAAGACAATTTCAGATTGCAGTTGAGGCCACAGCTCAGTTTGGTTCAGGGTACAAGCCTCCAACACCTTATCAACTTGGGGAGCCATTGCTTAAAGAGGCTGTGAAGTCAACAAGTACCATGAGGGAGGAGCATGAGAGGGCATGGAAACAGTATGGCTGCACACTTATGTCTGATGGATGGTCCGATAGGAGGGGACGCCACTTGATTAACTTCCTAGTGAACAGCCCGGAGGGGACATACTTCTTGGAGTCAGTTGATGCATCAAGTGAAGTACATGATGCTAAGATGCTTGCTGATCTGCTAGAGGAAAGAATTGATGACATTGGAAAAGACAAGGTTGTCCAAGTTGTTACAGATAATGGTGCTAACTTCAAGGCAGCAGGCAAGCTTTTGATGGAAAGGATTCCTACAATATTTTGGAGTCCATGTGCTGCACACTGTTTGGATCTCATGCTAGAGGAGATTGGGAACTTGCCAGCATTCAAGAAATATATTGCACGTGCAAGGCGTGTTACAACTTTCATCTATAGGCATGGGAGGATCCTTCATGCCATGAGGAGAAGACAGTGGGGCTGATCTTGTGAGACTGCACAACTCGTTTTGCAACTTCCTTTCTTACTTTGAAGAGTTTGTACAAGCACAAGGAAGCTTTGAAGGCTTTATTTCATAGTGAACAATGGATTGGGAATAAATTGGCAAAAAACCAAAGCAGGTCTAGATGTGCGAGGCCATTGTGTTCTCTACTGAGTTCGAACAAAGTTGAAGATTGCCTTAGAGCTTCAAAATTTCCCACTTCTCATTGTGCTTAGGGTGGTTGATGGAGATGAGAAGCCAGCAATGCCGAAGTTCAAGCATTAATGAACCACGCAAAGAGAAGATCAATCTGAGCTTTGCCATACCATCCAAGAAAAGGTTGCTTGACAAGATCATGGAGATAATTGAGCGAAGGTGGGAAAAACAAATGGATCATCCACTCTATGGGGCTGCATTATTTTTGAACCCAGGGAAGCTCCATCCTCTCATAAGAAAAAATGATGATGCAAGCATTGGACAGCTAAGAGGTTGCTTTCTTGATGTACTTGCAAGAATGGTGGAGGATGAGGAAACTAGAGACAAGATCAATGCTCAAGCCATGGATTATGAATTTCTTCGAGGAGATGCTTTTTCAAACAAAATGGCCCAAAGAAACCTTGAGTCTTTGAGCCCTCGTAAGTGTTGTGTTCTTCTCTTTTAATGTCATCAAGTGTACATTACAGACAATTTAATTCCAACAAGCTAGCATTTTTCAATCCCAGCTCCTAACATATGATGCATTTGTTGTTCTAGTTGATTGGTGGCGTTCATATGGTGGCCGTGCTATTGAGCTACAAAAGGTTTGCTAAGCGTGTGGTCAGTCTTTGTGCTTCATCATCTGGTTGTGAGCGCAATTGGAGCACCTTTGAATTTGTGAGTTTTTCCCCATCTCATCATCTCCTTGTCGTTTACCAATATTTCAGCAAGCATTTTATTCATCTTTTGGTGTATTGTGTTTCTTATTTTGTAGATCCACACAAAGAAAAGGAACCGTTGTTGCATAAGAGGTTAAATTCTATTGTCTTTGTTTCCTACAACCGAAAAGATGAAAACTAGGTTCCGTAAATTGAGGCGTAAAAGAAAGGTAAAGGCTTTGATCCTTTGGTTGTTGAGGAGTTTGATTGGGACAATGAGTGGGCTGACTCATGCATGTGCCCCCCTCATGGTGCTCGTGGTACGTGAGTGTGACCTTACATGGGACCTTGTTGATGAAGCTATTGGAGCATCGAGTTACTTCGTGGCGAAATTTACCAAGAATGACCCACAACAAGCGTGCTAGAAATTCTGCACCTATTGGGGTTCGTGGAGGAGCTGGGTTCAGAAAATGAGGATGAAGAAAATCAAGATCCCTATGATGACGCAGAGATGTGATGATTGTGAGGATGATCCTTGTGATGCCAATGGTAGTGGAGGAGATGAGGAGGCAGCCAACATCATTGGAGAGTTTGATGATGGCTATTGAGAGGAGGGATTTCAGATTTCCTATGTTGCTATTTCATATATGATGCGCACTAGCAGCGCTACTAATTAAGTCATGCCATTAGAGACTAGTTTTTGGCTACTAAGACATTTCAGATTTGCTCTTTTGCTACTTCATATTGTGCACTAGTAGACTAGTACTCTAGTAGCACTACTTATCATCCTTATTATGGTCTAAAACTATGTATGTCTGCTAAGAATTGGTAATATTAAGGTCTGATTTGCTTCTGAATTTTAGTGCCATTATATATTATGATATTCTTATGGCGTCGCCTAGGCGTCCGCCTTGCTCGCCTAGGCGTCTGGAAGGGGGTCGCTCGCCTCGCCTCGCCTTAACGCCTTTTAAACAATGTGAATAAGAATAGAAATCCTGATCAAATAGAAGGACAAATAAAATAAAAATTAGATAAATCTTACCCTGAATATTAAACCACGACTATGTTTCCATTTAAATGAAAACTAAAGATCAACATGAGTCTTTTAAATATAGCTTCTTAAAACTGTACAATTTTTTACACATAAAAAACTAAATCACTTCCTTGCAAACAAGACTATATAAAACATCTTGTAAAAATCTATGACCTCAAAGGGTACTTAGTTTTTACGTGCAACGCACGGGCATTTATCTAGTGTTAATACTATTTACTATAATCTTAGTCAAAATTAAGCTAATTTAATTTATATAAATTTCATAGTCACATCCTTTTGTGGATGGATGAAGTATTACTAGGACAGGAGGCGCACTCCGCTGCGCCCGCTCCGGTCCAAGCCTAGAATTTAGTAGTATAGATGATTTAACATATATAGAATGAGGTTGAATCCAATGAAAAGCAAACACTTTCTTCGACAAATTGTTTGGAAAACGGTAGTTCGGTCATGCATGTTTGGCCAAAAAGCATAAACAATTTTTTAGCTAGCTACCGACTAGTGTCCAAAATGATTTCATGTGCAGTGGACCAAAGAAATTGGAAATCCACGGCGTGGCCAGCCATACATGCCAAAGAAATACAAAAAAAATGCAAATAGAATTAAGAAACGTTGTATCTGTATGTAAATACACGTCCTATTGAGACATCTAAACAATCATGTTAAATCAGTTCATGGAAATAAATAACTACAAAGGATCATCTTGAAGAAAGCATAGGACGCCCATAGTAGTATATCCTCTATCCATATATCCATGTCCATTAGCAGTAATCTCCTCCCTATGTCCATTGTCCAGCCTGTAAGGCTGTAAGTAGGCACCGACTCCTAGTTGACTTGTTGGAAAATTTCAAAAGAAAAAAGGGTGAATACAGTACAGTCAAATAATAGGCATATATATGGTTACTGAATCAGACATGTTGATGTTACACGCTGCAAAAGCAATAAAATCATATTGATCATATAAACCTGAAAAGGGGAGGAATTATACAAAAGCAAAGGCAAGCAAAATGAGGACAATAATACTAACGAAACATGAATGCCTTCACTTAAATTCTTATGATAATAGAAAATAGAGGCAACTGAGAATGGGATGGGCTTTGGACTGACAATTGTTACCTTTTCGTTGACCAATTAACCCTAAGGAGGCAAAGGCAAATATGCATACATCAATCGTAATCGGGTGGTTTCCATATTCGTCAAGGCTGAAGGAACTAAATTCCATAAAGTCGAAAAAGGAGTACCATGCGAAGTATTTTTGCAATAATAGTCAGCAACCCAGATCCTATATGAACCTTCACTTGGTGATGATCGCATGTAAAGAAAGTAGACTGAACCTTAACTCTGAACTGGAGGGAATATAACTTTAGAAATCTGAACCTGTATTGGTCTTTAAGGTTGGGCACATATAGCTTTCAAATATTGGGCTCTCTAGACTATAGAGTTACCAAAAGGAAATTTTGTTGTAAGCCTGGCTAATATGTACCACCCAATAACTGGAAACATAAAATAACTCTTAAACTTAAATACATCGTATGCATACGTTGACATATTTAGTTTGGGATATGGACCTGCAAAGGTGAATAGGTGTCTTAATCTTATTTACAGTGTTTTGTTAGCATTTGTGAATTTCCGCAGAAAAATTGGTTCAGCAAATTCGATACTACAAAAGAAAGCTCCTATCGAAAGCAATAAGATCTGAGTATGGTTATATCCGCAAAGACCACAGAAAGGAACAACGAATCTTTGCAGTGAGAATTTTCTAGTAAGCCTACATCGTTCCCTATTAAGATTTTATTAAACAGGGGTTCCTTGTTAAGATGTAAACCTAGGCAAAGTTACAGCATCTAACTGAAATTGGTATGGCAGGAATAATTATGTAGTGTTTCACCGTGGTTTGAAAATGTAACAACACAAGTAGGAAGCATGAATATTACATCCATTTAGACACTAACAGTCCTTGCCGTTCCAGAATGCCTTGTTGAGGTTGTCACTAAGATTCTAGATGTATTCAGTGCAGCATATTTTACAGATCAGCAGCAGCTATTACCAAATTAGTTTGGTGGCCTGAAAAATCAAACACCAAACATAGGATCTAAAACCATGTTAATGGAGGCTAACACAGCTGAGCAGAATTGAAATAGCTTGCATTAGATGCTGGATGTAGATGACACATTGAATTATATATGTTGACAAAGAATAATCTATAAAGGAACCTTCTTTGTTATTTCGAGAAAGTGCAGAAGCAGTTGGGGCTGGAGGTAGACCTGACTGGAGCCTCTCCTAGCTCCCGATCGATATAGAGGCAGGGGTGTTCCCCACCGCCACCGACGCCTGCAATGGCGAGTTCCATTTTACTTCCATGGTCAGATGGTTTTCTTGGAATTTGGAAGTACAAATAAGCAAGATGGAGGAAGAGAACCTGCATCAAAAATTGTGTCAAGCCATACCTGCATAAAAAGGTGGCAGCAGGAGCGGTCTAAGACGGCTAAAATTGTTAATTCACCTTTACTACCTAATCTTTATGAGACATGAATATTTATAGCAAAACCCCAACAAAATAGCATGATAGTTAAAATGAACAACCTGAAATGTCACCCTCCTTTGTCCCTTGGTGATAGGTAAGATCATATCTATTTCTGACTAAGCACTTGAAAGCACTCAGACAGGATGGAGCAACAATTTTGAACCGAAAAATGAAATTATTTACCCAAAAACATACCACATGATGACCTCGGGTGCTCCAGTGGTTTACTGCTCATGTGCATTCCACCGAACAGGTTGCAGGCAAGTATTGGGCGCTTCATACTCTAGCCATACCCTCACCCAACCCTCCATGCGCCTCTTGGTGCCAGCAGGTGGAATGCATGAGAAGCAGTGGGTCCACATCGGATGAGAGGCATCAGCTGTGCTCCAAATAGTTACTGCGATCGCGCGCAGTTCCACGGCAACAGCTCCTCATTCTCACAGCACGCAGAATGCGAAGCAAGGATTGAGAGATTGGAAACCGATGGAGAGGACAACCATATTGATCGAGTTCGCATCACAGGCTCAAAGAAAATGGACCGGGAAAAGGAGGAACATTTTGTGGATGAACGCACTAGATCCTGACGACTGTGATGAAGGGGAAGGCAGTCAGCGCCTCAGCTCAACAATGTCGCCGCATGTCGGCCAAATGAATGAAAGTCGGCCGCCGCATTCGCCGGTGTTTGTCGCCGGGGAGAGGACGCCATGGCTGCCTCTCCATATTCGATTCGCGCCTTGCACCGCCGTCAAGTCCAGCCACATGTCGAGGAAGGAAGGTGACGCGTTCACTTCAGCAGCCGGGTGAGAGCGGTGGAGGCGGGCGATGTTGGCGCGGATCCAGGGCGAGGCGACGGAGGGAGCGAGGGAGACATGATGACGTGGCAAAGCCTGAGTTGGTCGATTTGTTTATACCGGACTGGTGGGCGATCCGATCGCGCACAGCGCGAACGAACCGTCGCGTGGCCAAGACCAAACTAACCGACGGTCGATAGTAAAAAAAACGCCAGATGGCATAACGTCGTTGGCGAGGCTGCGCGGATGCTCTGGCTGAAGAGCATTTTATTCACGGTTGAAGATCATCTAATCTAAGGCCCCCTTTGGTGCAGCTCCGGCTCCGGCTCCCTCTGCTGTGCACTGTTCACATCATGTGTGGACACTGTTTATCAGAGTCGGTTTTCTCTCTTCATTTCCTCTCTCACAGAGCCGTTCTAAGGGGCTCATTTTTTGCTCCTCCGGCTTGCCTACTGATGTCACTATAGTGTAGGAGCCGAACGCACGCAGGAGCCCGGCCAAATGGGGCCTAACTAGGGTAGTGTGCTCCGGTGCTGAGTCGGCTATCTGATGCCACGAGCTGGCCCTTTTTGGTAAACGCTAGTACTGTACTGCCTACTCCTGCACTTAAGTAGCAGCAAAAGATTTGGATTCGTTAGCCTTAGAGCATGTTTGGAAGACAAGTTTTCATGTCAAAACCCTTGTAAAATACAGGTTTGGAAAATTTTCACCCTACTCTTAAAAAAGCTGTTTGGATGCGTACTGCCTGTCTGCCTTGTTCTCCATCTCCAAATCTGATTGCTTCGTTTAATTTGGTTGGATAATTAGTCCTATTCCTGTGTACCATGCATGGTTTTGTTTCAGTTGCAATTATTTGGCATACAAATTGGTGGTGGTTGACTGTGTATAATGTTTGCCATTTGATAACCAAGTAGCCCGTTAATGCTTTAATATGAAATTTTGGACTCAAATTTGAGTGTTGATCTGAAATCTATTCAGCAGGTTGCTCCAATTCAGTGCCATGTTTTCAAATTTCACCATTTGTGCAATGCTCATGCTTATTGTGATGCAATGGTAATCGATTCGTTAGCTCAAAGCAAATAGTCAGTATACTGCTTACCCAAACAACAGCTTTCCTTTGGGAAATAATACCCAATATTCCAGAGGTTTTCTTGTGCACAAGAAAATCACAGGTGTAATGCAATTACATGTGAAAAGACTTCTAAACAGGGCCTTAGTGGTGCACAAGCACAACCAACCTAATATAAGAAGATAAAAAGGGCAAATAAAATGCATGTTACCCTCAATCGAGGATCTATAGAGATATTGAATATACAGGCAACCCAAACTAGACGGCTGCGCCCAACACCCTATACCATTTTGCTTCACAAAAAGGGAAGACGACACTTGACGTGACGAGCAAGCTCATCTGGGCCTACCAAGAAATTATTACCCAATCTGAGACTTTGTTTAGTTTCTCCTCTTAAAGTTTACTCCATATTCTATCAAATGTTCGGACACATAGACTAAAAAAATAACTAATTACATAGTTTGCAACTAATTTACGAGCCAAATCTTTTAAGCATATTTAGTCCATGATTTTGCTACAGTACACACACATATACTGACATATTAATTAAGCTTAATAAATTCGTCTCGTTGATTACTGACGGATTCTGTAATTTATTTTTTTATTAGTATCCGAGCACCCCAAGCAACATCCTCATATGACACCCTCAAAACTTTGCCCCTATATTTAAACAAGGCTCGAGCCAAACGGAAAAAGAACTACTGCTACAGCATCTTGGATGGAAGCGAGAGAATCTTTCTGCCGGTCTTGGAATATCTCCTCCGCGCCGCCGTGCGTGCCACATCCATTCCCTCGCGTCGGCCTTTTGAATTTTCAACTCTGATTAGTCGGCGGCGGCGTCATGTTTTTGGGCGACCAACCATTCATCGATTTAGTTCGTCGCGGCTTTAACAAAATCATTTTAGTAATTTATTAATTAGCTGATGGATGCCGTTCAAGGACGATGTTTGTTTGGTGTGCTTCTAAAATAAATTTGATGTCCTTGTCTCAAATGTTCCAACCTTGCAAATGGATGGATTCCCCATATATATATATATATATATATATATATATATATATATATATATATCCACTTCCATACCTCTGGCCCACTCTAACTTTGGTCCATGTCAAAAAAAATTAGCTCTAAAACATTTATCATTGAGCATGAAAGATGCATTATTACGTGATTTGCCGTAATAAACATATATAATGACAAAGTTAGAGCAAATTAGATAGATGTGTGTTTACTTTGTGCGTGTATAGATACATATCATAAGGCGCATATATGGGCATATGGCAGAAATTTTTAATCAAACTCATTGCATTTTTTTTTGTGTGTATTTGCACCCCCTAAACGCAACATGCATGCCTTCCCCTCCTGAACACATAAGCAAGTGCATCCTAGATGAAAGGGAGTGCACCATCATGTCAATTTTAAAATTATACTTCCTCCGTTTCAATATATAAATCTTTGTTCGACTCTGCAAGGGCTTGAAAACCAGACGTGCTTATAATTTCTATTATATTGCAAAAAAATATCCGTAGCGACAGATAGAATAAAAAACATAAGATAGAACTTTTGAATGGAATCCAATGATACCACTTTTGAGGCTAATTGTTTTTTTTTTTTGGGGAACCATGGGATTCCATTAACCTTGTGAATTGAACATTAGGAGGTTTACTCTTTAACTACGTGAGCTCCTTAATTACAAAATGAAATAGAGTAAGGAACACCTATGTTTGTATATATGAATAATGAAGGCTCTCCTCGCAAAAAAAAAAAAAAAAAAAAAGAATGCTCTGACGGTCTGACCCCTACCACACGAGAAAGGTTAGAAAACCTATGGTCAAAGGTGGTTTACTGAACTCAAATAATGTATTGTACAACTCTCTGAATTTTCTTAATGAGCTTTCCTATTTCACAATAATGCATTTCATGTTGGGTACCCTGGGCGACAAAATGCATAGTCGAATCAAAGACAACCACCGTGTGCCGTACGTCAATTAATCGGAAGAAGACAGCGACTCCCCAGTGGCCAACTGTTATTTTTTTAGAGAACGCGGCGTGTATTTCATTAAGAGAAGTAAGAGTTGAGTACAACCACGACTGGCAAGATGGCGAGCAGCCAGCAAGGCCCAGACGCCAACGCACCCAAGGAACAAAAAACAGGAAAAAAAAAAAAACAGAAGGTGGCCAACTGCTATAGCCTATAAAGTCTCATAATGTGACAAGTACAACTTCTCCTATGATCGGTCAATTACATCAACCTCATCAGCTAATTAATTAGGCATTCTTGCTTGAAACAAAACATTTTTATTATACGCTCAGTCAAATTATGCCCAAATTAAATAAAAACATGCCGAGGAGTTTTATTATTTTACGGATATAAAGAATATATAAGCACACATGGATCCATCCAATTGCAACTTACAAAGCCATTCCAATTTCCAAAGGACAAGTAAGCAAACTAGCCGCCAGCTGGGAATCGTCGGAGGAGCCACAGCAGCCACTCCACCCACGTGCTCTGCTCCTCCATGGCCAGCAGCACCAGCAGCTACCCTCTCGTGCTGCTCCTGCTGCTGGCGGCCACGGCTTTCCGCCGCAGCAGCAGCCACCGAGGCGTCCGGCTGCGGCGGCAACGCGACCACCGCGACGTCATCGCCGACGGCGTACGAGATGCTGGAGCGGTACGACTTCCCGCGGGGCATCCTGCCGGCGGGCGTGTCCGGGTACGAGCTCCGCGGGGACGGCAGCTTCGAGGTGTACTTCCCGCGGCCCTGCGAGTTCCTGCTGGCGGGGACGTGGCTGGTCCGGTACGAGCCCCGCGTACGGGGCTCCGTCGCGGCCGGGTCGCTCATGGCGCTGGACGGGATCAGCGTGAAGGTGCTCTTCTTGTGGCTCGGCGTCGGCGAGGTGGACCGCGCGGGCGACACGCTCAGCTTCTACGTCGGCCCCGTCGCCACCTCGTTCCCGCTCGACGACTTCGCCGAGAGCCCGCGCTGCCGCGGCTATGATGATGGTGGCGCCGGCGACGACGACGACTTCTTCCCGGCGGCGGCGGCGGCCTCGTCGTGACGCGCGCGTGATTAGTATTTGTACAATTGTATGTACCTGCCGCCTTGATGATTTAGCTGGCAATATAGATACGTGCATCGATCGAGACGAGCCGGCGATTAGCTACTACTTTCATTTTTGTTCATCATGTGTCTTGCAATTCTTTAAGCGTGCCTTCTCCTGATTTATGATCGTGCGATCAATTAGCTAGCTATTGTGTGTAGCAGCGCAGGCCGCGTCGCATCATGTGCCATGGCGACGGTACAGCAGCGAGAGGTCGTGTACGTCAACGCCGCCCTCTGTCACCGGTGCAACTCTTCGCTGAACAGTCTCAAGGCAATTTCAATGTCCACGTCATCTTCAGCCCGGCGCCTGGACAAAACCACGGTCAACGCTCAATACCGGCTGTTGTCAAAAAAAAAAAAACGCTCAATACCGGCCATGAAATCGTGAGATTCATAGCTCAGCTTTTGTGAAAGGAGAATGCTCGCTGGCTGATGTCCGATAGTCCCTGGATCCAAACACACCAGAGAACCATCCCTAGCACGAGGCTAGGTAGCTTAATTCGTGAGTAAATCATTACGTATGCTAGAGAGGGCAGTGATTATTGTAAATCATTTCACCGTCCCTAGGGCGCCATTGCAATGGCTCGTCGTTGTAACTTCGCACTCTTCTCGATCTTAATGGAATGATATGCAAACTTTTTGTGTATTCGGAAAAAAAACATAGAACCAGAGATTTGTTTTTGTGTCATGGATAAGCTCCGGTTATAATGAATGAACAGAAAAAAAAAAGTAATTAGTAGATGTAGGTTCTCTTGCTGCAGCCTGCGGAAGGATCTATGGTTCAGCATGGGTCGCCATCTAAAACCAGATCGTGCGTCATCCCACTCACACTACCTAACAAACTTATCCAATACGAGATGAACTATGAATCCATTCCATTCACCTGTGTAGTTTATTCTTTCTTTTTTGCCACCAATATCATCCTTCGAAAAAGAAACGAAAGCACTGTTTACAGAATTGAGTGGAGAGTTTCTTGACATTTTGTCTATATAAAACCAACCTGCCTTGTGAGCTGTAACTCTTACAAAGATGCTATTCAAGCTGTGTTGGAGGGGAAAGTAGATACTGCTATCATTATAACACAGGCAAGTTTGATGAGAAAGACTGACAACCTGATGTGGTTTAAACAGAAACGATAAACCAATTGTGGAAAAATCATCCAGATACCGCGCACCAGGCGAGGAAGACTGACAATAAAACAGATTGAAGCGTTGTTTAGGTTACATAGCAAATATGACTAGATCAAAACATGCACGTATTATTCGTTTCCATACAAATGAGCCTACAAAGTACAAGCTGATCTAAACATGCACCAACAATTAACACATGTGTTATCTGACTGGCCGACTGCTCTAGCCACTCTTTGAAGGGTATGCACTTTCATTCCAAAGACTCTGCAAGTGAGAGATGGTGCACGTAACATACCGACCGATCTTGAACACCCAGTTGTGACCAGAGAACTACCCAGAACAGGCAAACTTCAAACTTTCGATGTCGATACAATCAGTCTATCTGACAATTGGAATTTTAAACAATCAGGACGTTTCTATCACATCATACTACCACAGCCCATAAAGTTCCAAAAGTGGTTCCATGGAAAATTTCAATACAGCACATGATCGCATCCAATGCCCTTGAGGCATTTGACTGAACCATGACAATGAAGATGTACATACATAATTAGGAAAAAGATGCAGTATGGTACAGAGAAGGTAAGTAAAAACATACAAATTCTTTCATTCCAACGATTTGAGTAGCCGGAATAGACCGGCTGCTTCCCTTATCCGTGAAAATTCAATACAGAACGCTTGTACCTCAATGAAAAGATCTTGAACTGCACCCAAATAAAAATGCACAAAATTATCTGCCTTGTCCACTCGGAAAAGGGTGGGAAAACCTTAACTCGTGGACTAGCATTTCAACAATTTACAAGCCTACAAGAAAACAAGGAAATTTGAAAAGAATACAATTAACTTCGTGAGATTCAAATTGTACCAGGGCGGCTATCAATGGTATTGCACATAAGACACTGATTGTTTTATGAATAACAATGTCTACATGTAACTATATTAGCTGGAAACTACAAGATCAGTTATAAATAAATACATAATGCGTTCATGGTTATTGTCAAACAGCACCTCCAGACCTGAGAGACTATATTGTCTCAGTTTTCAGACCATAGAAATAGACATTGCAATATATCCAAGCAAAAAGGGAGCAACAAGAACCAAACAAGAAAATGGCTAAAGTGTTACACATGTATATGCATAGGATATCAAATCAAAGTAGAGATCAGAATGTTCTAACCACATATGACAACAAGTAGCTTAAGAGCATTTGAATTTTACCTTAAAAATGCATTAGGGAATGAAATGCAAGATAAGTAATAAGCAACTAGCCTACAGAAGTGAGCAAACCATACAATTGAGATGGCAGAATCAAGAATATGAAAGGTGCACAGGGTGTAAAGTACTAAAGTCAAGGTGTACAATTGGATATTATACTCGAGGCAGAAAGCAGGAATATGAAAATCTAATCTTTGAGAGCTGATTATTTTCGATTGAGATGGCAGAAGTTACGACATTTCAGCAACAGTATGCAAAGCAGACCTTTGCTAAGCATGAGCAACTCACCGTTTATAATCTTGTTTCGGATAAGACTCTGCAGGAAAACACAAACTAGTCTCACAAGTCTGTTTTGCATGTATTTATCCTGCACAAAAAATAAGTATCATTCAGATAAACATATATCAGTATACCGCACATTAACACGAGAAATCCCAAATTAACCGATAAGCAAAACACCAAGTGCAGAAATTAAAGGAGTAAAGCACAACGTTCTATAAACCATAGGGCATTTCTTTTGGAATAATGCAAAACACATAACAGCACCATAATCACCCACATCACTAGTGATCCCCAAGGCTAATGATAAAAGCACTTATCATCCCCAGATTCGCCATGGGCCTTGTAATTTAAGCACATGCATTAGTGGTCTCACATTCCCATAGGGAATGCAGTCAAGATTAAGTTGCCCCTGCTAGAACATATCTGCTAATTACAAGATATTAAAACCCAAATTATTTAAACATTAACTTCAACTAAGATGTGATATTACACAAAAATGGTGAAGAATACTTCTTGATCAACTTCAATCGAAATGAACTGAGCTAGTGCTCGGGTGGCTAACGTTGCCAGTGTGCATGCTGCCGGCGCGAGTTCGATTCCCAGGAATCGCACTCGCATCGCTCGCCGGGACTTGCTCCCAATAATGTCTGCAACCTCTCTCGCATGGAGACAAAAAGGGATTGCAACACGCCGTCGCCTACTGAACCATGGCTGGTCCCGGTGATCTCTGGAAGGACTTGGTCTACTGATCTGTGTGCAGTTGTAGGTCTAGTTGTGCACGTGTGGTGTGAGTGTGGTGTGTGTGGGTAGCGTGGGCGTGCGTTCGTGCATGAACAGATGCTACAACTGTACCCAGATGAGAGGCTTAAAAAAACCTTCAACCAAAATGAATCAAACAAAGAACAAACCTTTATGTTTTGACATGATTGGATACAATTTGTGATGTACTCATGGACAAACTCTGTTGGAAGGTCAACAGCAGTAGTAAGTCTGTTCACAACTTCCATAGAATGCAGGCTCATTTCCATGTGCACAAGAACATCAAAGTAACTACAAAAAAAGGATCATCGGTCAAATAAAGGGCAGGAAGAAGGCTGCCTATATGATAATAGAACATAAAACAAAGAAAAGAGACACACCCAGGAATGTCAGGAGAGTGAATTAGCTTCGAAAGAACCTCAACAGCAATGAGCGGGTTGTGTTCAACAAGATCCTGAAACCATGCATAGATTCAGAACTCCAAGATCAAATGGCGTTAAATATGTGAGACTCAGTTCATAGAGTACACGTACAGGAAGCTTCTGTGGGGTCATCCCACAGTAATAAACCAGTTTAGGATCCTTTGTCAGTTCTACTATGACTTGCTGCAAGAAACTGTGAACAAATTAGGCATGTACCATTGGAACCTCTTATGTACCAAAGAATGTCTGAGAAAAAAAGGGTGATAAAACCTAGGTGCCATAAATTTATCCAGCAATGAGGCTATAAAATTATCATAAGGAAACAAGAGGAAAAGAAATCCTAGTCATAGAACAAGCAATTTGATAAAAACAGTCATCATTATCTTGAAGAAATATTAGAATGTAGCAGTGAACCTCCTGTTGGGCAGGTGCAAGTGGACCTTTTAAGGCTCTTGCAATCAAATCTCGGATAGCAGCCCCTCGACTCGTGTCAGTACACATGCTATAATCCCATAATAGCTCGTGGTTATTGTCAGGGTTCAACCATTGTAGCTGTATGTTCATCACAATAGAAGTTATATTTAGAGACGGAACTGGTATTAAAATGCAACTTCTGACTGAGTAATTTTACCTCCCCATCAAGTACAGGAAGTCTTGGGGGGTGTGGGCCGAATCCATTGCGGACCCAACCTTCCCCCCGATTTGTCTTGGAGTAAAACAGCAATAGTAGTATCTCTATCATCAGAAGCAGATTTCTGTTTGCTTCCAGGTGGTGATATCGAAGACCTTATAAGGTTACGAAAGAAATAAATAAAGGAGAAGAAATTGGACAAATGAAATCCAAGGACCTCACAAGAAATATCAATTTAGATAAGGGGGTGTACATGAGCCTACATACTCTGATGAATTTGCACAACTTTGAGGCACGTCTGGATCTGGTATAGCACTTCTAACCATAGCAGCTCTGAAACTACTAATCTGAGGCCTGCAATTTACACTAGTACTGCAATATTGCTTCTCAAGTTGTTCCCGAGGCAAAAAATCCTATACAAATAGACAAACATATGAATAATCATACTCGACCAAAACATAAAAAGTTGTTTACCTAATCAAAAGCCCACCTGACATGCTGAAACAGATCCATTTATGTAATCTACCGCAGACTGATTCAGGACCTGAAAAACAAAAATCACCACAAAAATTAACTAAATACACATTTTGCAGGTTCCTTTCTCAGAATCAATAAATGAAAAAACAATGTCCAAGCTGTTGATTGCATATTATCTAAAATTTCACGGTAGCGATGTCTAATGACCCTTAATCAATAGATGCATGTCAGCATAGGAAAGGAGAACATAATCCCTAGAATATTGTCATTCTATGCCACACTAAATGTTGACTCGTATTTAAAAGTCAAAGAAAGAGAAAAGACCTCGTTATTATTGTTTCCACTAGATGAAGTCAATAATAATTGGACAAATGCCCGTTCTGATTTCTCTGACGTTTCATCACACGCTGCCTGTAGATATCAACACATGAAACTAAGGTATCAAGCATGAAAAATATTTAGTCCATTCAAAAGACGTTGCAACAATTACATCTCAAGAACCATAGAAAAGTAGCAAAACATGTTGAATGTTCGATTTTTCAACATGATGCTAAATGATTAAAGAAAGTAATCAGCTATGTTTCCGCGCCACTAAAACCACAATTGAAAGAGACAAGGACTCAGATGCTATAAATAAGTAGTAATCAAAGCTATAAACAGTAGCTCTCTAGCACAGAGCAGTAAATGAGGAATACATGATTGATTTGAACAGAAATGCATTCAAAATGTGAACTGACCTTAATTAATCTTTAAAAATTAATGGTGCTAAGAAATTGCTGTTACAATTCAAGAAATATAATAGGGGCAACATTGACAGATCCAATTGATTCAAAAATGGATAGATATTAAGAAAACGGTTATTTATACTATTCATAAAGCTACAGAAACCTAATATACAAGGCTCCAAGGTTCAGCTGTTTGATTCAGCTAAAGCACAAATCAAATAAGACCCTAAGTTTACAATAACAAAAACAGATTCCAATGATAGAGCCTGGAGGTCAACATAAAATAAGAAACCCATTGTGTGGACCCTAGATTGTCAAGTGGGTAGCACAGAATGCAAAGATCCAGCTTATATATGCTAGAATATAAAGACAAAGTCTTGGCCAAATGGGAGCTGAAGGTTTTGTAAAAGAAAGACGATGTACAATAAAAGGCAGAATTTTTCAAGAGACCAATTCCCCATCAGAATAATGTAGACGACTAAACTTTTGATCCACATAAGTATCTCCTGAAAGAAGAATGCCCTCACACACGAACTTCGGTACTAGATGAGAATGTGTGTTTGGTACCAGTGCCATAGTCTAGATGTGGGAGTTGGAGAAATGTAAAATATAGTCCAGTCGAGTCAAGCATGAAACATATGGAAGAATATTGCAATTTTGCACATTGATTTGTTTAAGTATGCTGAATAGAAAAATGTGAATTCTTCCATCATAAACCAAATCACAGAATTGAAACAACAAGGTTTACCACTTACATTTAACAATATAGGAATATATGGATTTGCCGTCTGCGGCGAATAGCTCTGATGAAGAATTGCAAATGCAATTAAACGGCCAGTAGGATGAAGCATCTTCTTGTCCTAATCAAAGGGCAACATAATATATCAGATTTGTAGCACTATTCCGGTGAAAGCAAATATGAATCTAGAATCTCATAGTGAACATAACAGACCCAACTTACAAAATGAACTAAAGGTAGGTGAATAGTATCCCTAAAAAATTGTTGTGCGGTGCAAATATGAAGTTATTAAGGAGAATGCATGTGAAAACACCAACTACTATTGTCACAGCATAATTTGGTTCAGAAGTCACTAGTGCTGTGCATTGTCTCCTACAGGACAGCGTACCAGGCAGGGGGGAGTGTCAGTACATGAAAGGTTCTGCAGCAATAAACAGCCCAAAACTTTCAGCGCTGTTGTAACCCACTAAATTAGCTATAGCATGCCACCAATTAGAGGAACATCAATACAACTCTAACTGCAGTATTCTTCATTTCACCCCTAAATATTTTTTGTTGCAGCATGGTTAAAGGAGAAATTTGTCATGTCCTGTAAGGAAAATATGGTTCCTCTCAAAACTATTGAGCCTTCGAAGAGAAGAACAATCAAGTTACAAACCTTTTTTTTTTTTGCAAAGGGGCATAAAAAGAACTGTAGATGATTGGTTAAATGTTTCTTCAAGGGTGAAAGGTCTTTTGAAATGGTACAATTAAAGAACAAAATCAAAGCCTATGTGTAAACTTCAAATTGCTTTTCATGCACTACCAAGGTTGCACATCGTTCTTAAAAAAATTGACACATGAACCAAATATGCTAGCCTTTCCTTAATTCTATAACCAGACAGTGGTAGATCAAACTGAAATAGGCCATACTTGCACCAGCAGTTTGGCATTATTTACTCCAACAAGAAATAAGAAAATTATATAGATTCTGCTTTCAGATTGCATGAACCAATAGAAGCACGTTCAATATGGTGATGATCCATTTAATCAATACTAACACACAAGTGAATCCTCAAAGCCAGAAGTGTTATGCGTCCTCTTGCACACACTATTGATGTCACTAAAGCTAGGAATGCTCATTGTGCTATATGGGAGTATGGAAAAGGAGTTTAGACCAAGTTCTATACGTTTTTGATCTGATGATATTCTACAAGTGATAAATCACGCATTACTGAAGTTTGGTTTGAGTTTACCATGAACTACAACCCTAAACCTCAGTGATAAAGAGCAGCTACAGCAAGAATTCAAGGTCAAGAATCCAATGGCTATGAAATTCTCACCGAGTGCAAATCCAAACAAACATGATCGAGCTAACCCCACGAAGCCACACACAAACACAAAGAACTTAGTCTCAAACTAAGAAAGACTGAAGAAATGGCCCTAAATCTACATGTCCAGCGATCCATCCATTCCAGGTCAAAAGATTCAAAATTGAGAAAGCATCCCAGGAAAACCGAAAGATGGTGAGTCAATGGTCTCCAAAACCCCAGAAATGTCAGCTACATCGAACCATCCGACACTCCATCCGAAGCCTAAGCCGCAATCAGAAAGTGAAATCGCAAAAATGCAGTAGCCTAACTCATCCCGATTCGCGCGTCGATCCCAGCTAAAGCAGTGCCCCAAACCAGCGAAAGAAAGTAAAACCCACCAAATCTGAGTAGCCAGCACAAACCCTAACCCAACCAACTCAAGCTAGCCCCGATCCGTTTCTCGCCGCCAAAGCCTCCCGCCCAATCTGACGAAAGGAAAGCAAGCAAGAGAAAAGCTGGAGGGAGGCTCAGGGAGCGGGGAGAGGCAAGGGCGCGGGCGTGGCGTGGCGTGGCTTGCCTCGAGGAGGAAGGAGAGGGCGCCGCCGACGCGGAGGCGGCGCTCGCGGGGAACCGCGCGAGGAAGTCGGCGACGACGTCGGCGAGCGGGCGGGCGGCGGCGGCGAGCAGCGAGAGGAAGTCGGACCGCTCGTCGGGCCGCAGCGTGGGGACGGGGGAGTACGCCGACATGGTGGGCGCCGTCGGCAACGTCGGGGGCGAGGTCGCGGTGGGCGTCGCCGTGGTGAGGGACGGCGGCGAGGATTTTCCTTTCGGCTTCGGTTTTTTTTTTTGGGCCTCTAGGCGAGAGTAGGCGGCTGGCTCGGGATGTGGATCGGACGGGTGCGGCTGTGTGGGTTTGCGTTTCTTTCACTTACCCTTTCCTTTCCTTCGGTGCTGGATGTTGCATAGGTTCACCTAGCTACTTGCAGTCTTGTACCGACGAATTTCATTTTAATTTTCGTATCCACAACCATTACCATCGACCACAAGTAATAGTTCGAATAATTTTGATCATTTATATAAGACTACGTGATATCAACAGATACGGCTATAGATTTGTCTTTCTTTTCACTCTCTTCTCTTTTCTTTGGTTGAGCTCCACCGCACCAGGGTTGTCGTTTAGGTTTACGTTTCATTTCACATCCACCACTATCATCATTGTCCACAAGTAATAGTCTAATCAGTTATTTGCTATGTGATGATAATGGATACGACTGCGGGTTTATCTTTCTTTCCACTTTCTCTTTCTTTTTTCCTAGATAGTCTCGTGAACATGTAGCTCCATTAGGCCCACTCCGCTAGGGTTAGCTTGTTACTTAGGTTTACCTAGCTAGCTGATAGATCTTATTTCACATCTACCACCATTATCATCGTCCACAAGAAATAGTCGCGATGATTTCGATCGCTTGTATAAGATGTCATGTCCTATGTAGTGCTTCTAATGGCCTCTTTGGTAGAGCTAAAAGGGCTCTAGTTCTGTCTTCTCAAGAAGATTTGAGCACAATGATCTTGCCATTGCCATCAGGAAGATTGTGGCATTTGAAATATCAAGGAAGATGGATAAAAAAGCATCTTCATCAAGCAAGCAAAACATCGCCCTCTCGTGTGATGAACATAAGAAGGTTAAGAGGTTGAATCAAGCTCATGTTCAAGTGAGGGAGAAGATGAGAAGGAGGAAGATAATCGTCCGATGATGAAGAAGTAGTGATGAAATTAATTAGAGGAGTGAAGAAGATGATTACAAGATCTAGTCCAAGAACGTGCCCATCACAATTAAAGACATCATGTTCACCAACCAAAGAAAACACACAAATGAAGAAGGGTTGCTTTGGTTGTGGTGAGATTTAGCACTTTGTGGAGGATTGTCCAAACAAACCCAAGCTAAAGAACAATAAGAATGGAAGGAAAGGAAAAGTTGGTCAATGCCTTACAAATGTGAATGCATGGGATGACTCTTCAAGTGAGGAAGAAGCCCATCATAGGAGGCTCCACCACAAGTTATCATCAAGCTCTTCGCACATATGTCTCATGGCAAGAAATATAGTTGAAAGCAAGAACGATGAAGTCATAGTGACTCCCTCCTTCCAATGAAGATCTTGCTAACTTGGTCAAACAATTTCAAGAAACTTGCACTAAGCACCAAGCAAAAATCAAAACTTGGAACAAAAGATAGTTAGCTCGATTAAAAGTTATGATGAACTTGCAAGAAAAATTGACACATTTACGGATTATAATGTTGAGCTAGCTAACAAATTTTAAAAAAAAACTATAGAAGCTAGTACAAGTACCTCAAAAATCACCTAAAAAGATTTCTCTCTTTGACATAATTCAAAAGGATGGCTCTACTTCTTGAATTGATTTAATTGATCTAAACTCACCATCTTGCACCAAGACTTATGCTGAGCATGTTGTTGTAGATTCATGCATCGATGAAGCAACCTTATATTTTTTCATATTTTTGTGGGTATATTATGATCCTTGACGATATATGGACTATATCATATGTGCACTACAGGACAATATGAAGGGTATTAGAAATGACAACGGGGAATTCTCTATCAGGGGATGGCTTCCCATCCCCGTCTTCAGGGGAGGATTCCGTGTTCATGGCATATTCATGGGGACACTTTTTTTCCCCATCCTGGTCCCCCGGTGGGTAATTAACCCCCACCGAAATCCCCATCCCATAATAAAATTATAGTTAGAAGAGGATACGACACAAGAAGCAAATATTTTAGTGTCAATTTCTCAAAACAAATGTTGTTCTCATATCACAAAATACAAAGGACAAGGGACATTAGTAGTTCTCATCCGTCGAAATCCAAAGAACATGAAACATTAGTTCTATTCTCACAAATAAAAAGAAAATATGCAACACAATGATGAAGAGGCCCATGACTATGAGACAATGAATGGAATTGATACGTAGTGTTTAGCATCTTAACCACATCATGTTCTGCACATGGTTGCACGCGCTTGAAAGCCCTAGTTTGGTTTTGGATAATTGATGAAACATATGCACTAACATTTGTCATGAGTTGTGATATGAGCTAGGTTGGTGCAATTCAAGTGTGGAGCATGGTGGCACTCAAGTGATGGTGATGATCACATGAAATGATGAGATGGCCACATGTGATGATGATCAAGTGCTCAACTTGGAAAAGAAGAAAGAGAAAAACAAAACCCTATGGAGATCAAGGCAAAGGTATAAATAGCGGTTTTGTTTTGGTGATCAAGACACTATAGAGAGTGTAATCACATTTAGGATAGATGACCGTACTATTAAGAGGGGATCTCAACTAGACAATTCGGTCATCTAGTGCCACTAGGTGTTGGACTTCTTGCATTGCATTTAGGCTTGTACACATCAGAGAGCAAGCAAAAATATTTATCAAAAATAATTTGAGAAATGCTAACTTGGCTCTAACATGTTTTGAGAAAACACTTTGAGGGTTAGCAACGCTTGCAAAGGAGTGTTAGACTGCTTGTGGATCGAATCAAGAATCAAAAACGCAGCTAACGGAGGTGTTTGCCTCGAGGTGGTCACCGCCATGGGTGCGGCGGTGCACCACCCTGACATGTCCGATGATCGGCTGGCCAAGGCCGAGAGATGCTGGTGCTAGGGCTAGCACCGCCACTGTGTCCAGTGGCACCACCACCCCTAGGACGGTGCCCACCTAGACATGGCCGAGAGCAGCAAGTTGAAGGGCAGGCACCGGTGTGTCCGGTGTACACCGCCAGGTGCATGGCGGTGCACCGCCATGGGCACCATCGTACATGTCTAGTGCCACCGCCCATTTTCCCCTGAGAGCACCGAAAGCGAAGGGGGCACCGCCATGGGCGCGGTGGTGCACCGCCCTTTTTATCCAGAGGCTTGGCTTTCGGGGGCACGGTTGGGTGGTCACCGCCACCCCTGGGGTGGTGCCATCGCCACCCTATCCTATGCCCCAACGACTAGTTTGTAGCCATTGAAATTCGACCATTGGAGGGCACATCCACCGTGTCTGGTGCCAAGCACCGCCCTGTCTGGTGACCTCACAGAAATAGCTCAAAGGGGTACAACAGCTCTTTTTGCTTGTGTGACTATAAATAGAGGGTGTGGCCGGTCTTGGCCACTCTCTTGGCACTTCATACACTTGTGCACACCCTTTGTGAGCTGAGCAAACATAATCCACTCATTTGCACACTTAATTTCATCATTTGAGTGAGATTGGTGAGCCTCTAGTGCATTGCATTGAGTTGCGTCATCTTGTGGCACTAGTTGGGTGATTTGGGCTGGTTGTGAGCTTGTTACTCTTGGTGTTTGCTGACACCTAGATGGCCCGATGATTGGAGGATCATTGAGCGGAGTTGGTGATTGTCTCCGTCCTCCGATCGGTTGCTTGTGCGGGTTCTTAACCTTCTCCCAGCGAAGAGCCAAAAGGTACTCTATTGGATTGCGCGTGTCATTGAGCTACCTCACTTGTGGGTAGGTTCTTGGTGAATGTCCAATTGTGTGGATGAGGTTCGTGTAACATCTCTTAGCCGCTGAACCACCAAGTGTTGATCAACACAACGGGGACTAGCGTACCGGCAAGCACGTGAACCTTGGGAGAAAAATCTTGTGTCTCTTATGATTGGATTTCTCCCGGTGATTGGATTGTCTACATCTTATGATTGGTTCATTCCTTGACTCAACGGTATATTCATCATATCCCCTCCTTTGCATTCTTGCAAACTAGTTGCCAAGCTCTTTAGTGTAGCTAGTCTTTGAGAGCTTGTTAGTTTGGTTAGTGTGGCTCTTTAGTTAGTCCGTGAGAGCACACTAGCTTAGTGAAGTAGTGACTTAGCTCTTGTGTGTGCTAGTGATCATAGCAACTAGAATTGTTGGGATAGGTGGCTTGCAACTATTGTAGAGCTAGAGCAAAATTGCATTACACCATTTGTGTTACTAATCGATTGCTCCAGTGCCTTATAGAATTTTTAAATAGGCTATTCACCCCTTCTCTAACCATATTAGGACCTTTCAGCGCTGCCTCTTTTGGCTTTGGTGAATGGTGTGGAGCCACGCGGGAGGTTCAATAGTGGTAACCAGTGGATTGCGTTGCAACTTGGGGATTAAGTTCGTGACTTCGCAAGAAGCAAGCTAGACACCGTTGACACCGCGCACACTACGCGAATAGGACTCCTTATTTCAACCTTTGGTGACGTAGTAGTGGCGGCGTGCTGGATGGGTGGCGGTTAGTGTGGTCTAAAGAGTTGGCCACCTAGGACTTAGGGTTAGTGGTGGTATATATAGTCTGCAATAAATAATGGGCCTTTAGATGGGCCTAGAGCTCTCCCTTTGGTTCATCTCGCTCATGAGTCATGCTGTAGCAGGGCAGGTGAGTAGGGATCAAGGATGGGGATTAGGGAACCATCCTCATCCCTAGCATCCCCAACGGGGATTAAATTCTTACCAAAACAATCCCTGTGGGGGATAATTTGACCATATCACTGTCCCTTCATGGGGGAATTCTCTATGAGGGATCGAGGATCGGGGCCTCTTGATGGTAGTTACCATCCACCATAAACCATCAATATAACTTGAAATAATGCATGCAAATAATCAACAACATAGATTAGGGGTTTAAACTGATAATTTCCACGAGTTTTGGTGAATCTGTGTTTTCAGCAGGGTTATTTCAGAAAACCATCAAGGGGATCAAAAC